AAACTATTAAGTATAGGGTAGCTTCAAGAGAAAGGATTAACAATTTTAATTCAGAACTTGTAAAGTGTATCATTCTAAGAGGGGACTGATTATGCAAACCAATATGAGTGGAAACAGAATGTTTTTGTGTTAGCTTATATGCCACAGAGAAATTCCATGTGTTTGCAAACTGAAGATGTATCAGAGAAAGAGGCGCGCATTTGGCACAATCGATTTGGGCACCTAAATCACAAGGGATTAAGAACACTAGCCTTCAAAAAGATGGTGATTGGCTTACCTGTTCTCAAATCTCCTAATGAGTTATGTACAACCTGCCTAACTAGAAAACAACACAAAGATACAATGCCAAGGAAGAGTTTGTGGAAGGCATCAAAATAGCTCCAACTAGTACATTCAGATATATGTGGTCCTATCAAGCCAGCATTCCACAGTGGCAAGAGGTACATTCTAAGTTTTATTGATGATTATTCTCGTAAAACTTGGATTTATTTCTTACATGAAAAATCAGAAGCTTTTATTACTTTCAAACATTTTAAAGCTAATGTTGAGAAAGAGATGGGTGCATTCATAACTTGTTTGAGGACTGATAGAGGTGGCGAGTTCACCTCAAATGAGTTTGGAGAATTCTGTAAATCACAGGGCATTAGTAGGAAATTGGCAGCAGCCTATACACCACAGCAGAACGGAGTTGCAGAGAGAAAAAATAGGACAATTATGAATGTTGTCCGATCCATGCTAAATGAAAGAAAAGTTCCCAAGACTTTCTTGTACGAGGCTGCAAAATGGTGCGTTCATATTCTGAGTCGATGCCCGACAGCAGCGGTTGAAGATAAGACCCCAGAAGAGGCATGGAGCAATGAAAAACCAATGGTAGATTACTTCCGAGTTTTCGGATGTGTGGCACATGTTCATATACCAGATCAAAATAGGAGCAAATTAGATGACAAAAGCAGAAGATGTGTTCTTCTAGGAGTGAGCGATAATCAAAAGCATGGAGGTTGTATGATCCAATCTCAAAGAAAATTATTGTCAGCAAGGATGTTGTTTTTAAAGAAGAAAAAGGTTGGGATTGGGGCAGATCTGTTGAAGAAATAAAGCGAGATATACTAGAGTGTGAAGATGAAGGAGATACTGTGGCGAATCAAAATGAAGAACTTGGTGAAACAAGCCCAAATAACTTGAGTGGCAGTCCTGGAAATTTCAGCACTTCCAGCATCTCTAACAGCAGCTCCAACAAATCAAGTAGTCTGACAATTTCACCCCCAAATGAGCCAAATTCTGATGATAACGATTTAGTTGAAGGGAGGGGCATGCGAGTAAGAAGAGAACCAATATGGATGACAGATTATGAAATAGGGGAAGGTCTTTCGGATGATGAAAATATGAATGCAATGATGATGGTAACTGACAATGACCCTACAACGTTTGAAGAAGCAGTAAAATGCAAGAACTAGAGGGAAGCAATGTCAACGTAAATTGAATCCATTGAGAGGAACCAAACTTGGGAACTGACTGTGATTCCTAAAGATATCAAACCTATTGGAGTCAAGTGGGTATTTAAAACAAAGTTGAATGAAGATGGTACTGTGGAGAAGTTCAAAGCGAGGCTCGTAGCAAAAGGGTATGCACAACGCCATGGTATTGATTATACTGAGGTATTTGCTCCGGTGGCAAGACTCGACATTATCCGTGTAATTCTTGCAATAGCTGCACAATTTAGTTGGGAGGTCTTTCAACTTGATGTAAAAAGCGCTTTTCTTCATGGTGAGTTAAAAGAAGAAGTCTATGTTGAGCAACCCGCGGGGTTTGTAAAGAAAGGAGAAGAAGATAAAGTCTACAAACTAAAAAAAGGCATTATATGGGCTTAAGCAAGCACCGCGAGCTTGGTACAGCAGAATCGAAGCTTATTTCATACGAGAAGAATTCGAAAGATGTTCTAGCGAGCATACTCTATTTACAAAATCAAAAGGAGGTAAAATCTTAATTGTAAGCCTTTATGTTGATGATTTAATTTTTACCGGGAATGATAGAAGCATGTGTGATGAGTTTAAAAATTCAATGATGTCGGAGTTTGATATGTCTGATTTGGGGAAAATGAAGCATTTTCTTAGAGTAGAAGTGAAGCAATGTGCAGGTGGAATATTCATTTGTCAAAGAAGATATGCAAAGGAGGTTTTAGCTAGATTTAGCATGGAAGACAGTAGTGTTGTGAAAAATCCCATTGTATCGGGTACAAAATTACGCAAAGACGAGGGAGGTGTCGCCGTTGATGAAACTCTGTATAAGCAAGTGGTTGGAAGCCTTATGTATTTGATTGTAACTAGACCTGACATGATGTTTGGTGTTAGTTTAATAAACAGGTTCATGGCTAGACCTACTATGGCACATTGGCTGGTAGCAAAGAGGATTTTAAGGTACCTAAAAGGCACATTAATCTGGGTATCTTTTACAGGAAGTAAGAATACAATCTAAAATTGGTGGCCTTCACTGATAGTGATTATGCTGGTGACTTAGATGATCGAAAAAACACTTCTGGATTTGTGTTTAAATTGGGAGCGGGAGCTATTTCTTGGGCCTCAAAGAAACAGCCGGTTGTCGCTCTCTCCACCACAGAGGTGGAATACATAGCAGCAGCTTTATGTACGTGTCAATGTGTTTGGCTTAGAAGAGTGTTGGAAGAGATTGAAGTTGAAAATAAAACAGCAACTATGATCATGTGCGACAATAGTTCTACTATACAACTATCTAAAAATCCTGTGTTTCAAGGAAAAAGTAAACATATTGATGTGAAATTCCACTTTCTTAGCACTAGTGCAGAAATGACTTTTTACATCGGGTGAAACTGACTTTTTACATCGGTTCTAGGTCCGATGTAAAGTCAGGCGATATAGTAAATCAGAGACTTTTTACATCGGTTCTGGGACCGATGTAAAAAGTCTCTTTTTTACATCGGTTATAATATAAGAACCGATGTAATAAACTGTTATTATGCACATTTTTTAAAAAATTGATCCAGTTTTTTACATCGGTTGTAAGTAATACCCGATGTAAAAAGTCTCTTTTTTACATCGGTTATAATATATGAACCGATGTAAGAAACAGTTATTATGCACATTTTTTAAAAAAATTGATCCAGTTTTTTACATCGGTTGGAAGTAATACCCGATGTAAAAAGTCCCCAGTGACGCAACTTTTTACATCAGTTATTATCCCCAACCGATGTAAAAAGTCTCTTTTTGAAAGTTTTTACATCAGTTTTTACTAATAACCGATGTAAAATGTATGAATTTTTTTTGGAATAGATTATTTATTTTCTGGATATTTCCCTGTACAAATATAATTTGTACCCATTTTTTCATATTTTTCCAATATCACACAGACTATATTTATGTCGCTATATAGATTTCATAGCTTTCCAACATCACATCTAGGTCGATGTTTTCATATTTTTCACAACAAACTTACAAATTGAACAATTGTATTGCAAACTTGTATTGTATTACAACAAACAAACTTACAATTACAAATTCTTCACAAAATATACAACAATATTCAACTATTTATAAGTCTTTTTTCAAAACTTACAATTACATATTATTCACAAAATATACAAAAATATTCAACTATTTATAAGTTTCCAAACTTAAATTACCAATATAAAATCTTCGGTAGACAACACCAAAATCACATTGCCTGACAATAAATAATAACAATTAACATCAGCAAAAAAATCAAGAAACTCAAATGTGCAAAAACCATATGTATTGTGCAAAAACCACAACTTATACAATTCTATAAAACTCACCAAGATAAACTTAATTTGCATGTAACTCAAAGAAACATTTTGCCCAACGAAGTCGCAAATCATACAAATCATCTTGTGTTAATTCTGTTGGGTCATCAAATACCTATAATACATAAATATAACAATATAGAGTTAATTTTTAAAAATTCATATTAAGTCGAAAAATAAAAAGTAAATAACAAAGTAAAGTTATTTTTAGTACCTGCATCCAATTCTCGGTTATATTAGCAGAGACAATATCCAACATATTTTTCATCACATAGTATCCACAATCATTAGAGTTATGTTGTTGCCTTGTCTACAATTGAATGACATAATTAGTGAATAGTTATCATAAATTTAACTATATAATTACAATTTACATCACACTTACATTGGGATGAAGCCATGTAGTCTTTTTTCTATTTCCATTTGTCATTTGATGAATCCCAAAAGAACTAATACAGAAAGATAAACATCACATAGCTAAATTTACTCGCCAATGAAAAATGACATAACTATTAGTTGTCAATGAAAGTCACATGAAAGATAAAGTCGAAAAATGACATAGCTAAATTTACTCGCCAATAAAAAGAACTCTTAAATTAATATACTTGACCAAGAAAATATTAAGTTTTCAATATTAATTGTATTTTGTTAAAAAAAATTATAAAGTAAGAGAGATTAAAGACAAAAAAAAATAAAAAACATATTTAATTCTATAATTAAATATTATTAAATAAACATAGAAAAGAACACATTAATAGAAAATAATATCTAAGGTACTCACTGCTAAGATCACGGTTATAGAAGTTATATCAAAGCGAAGAGGCTAGCATCTCATGGAGGAATTCATTGAGTTTAAGCTTGACAGATTTATTTTGACCATTATGAATGAAATGTTACACAATTGACCCTAAAGAAACAGCTAACCAAAAATAAGTAATTGTTAACTGTGTTGGTAATACTTAGATTGAAAATTCCACCTATTCACTACAAGTCTTCAACACTAGGTTGAGAGTGTATGCTGTAACAGTTCAATATTGACCTCTTTCAAGTTAGATGATAGCTCAAATACAAAACAAAAATTTGCTTAAACACAACAAGTGTCTTTAAGGCGATTTGCAGGGGAAAGTCCACATAAGCTTAAGTCAGATTCCCTCAATCACTCAAAAAGATCATTCATACATATCAATGGAAAAGAAAATCCACGAGGCTAAGAGGCTTTCTTGGGAGGCGTCATGTTAAAAAGAAGGAAAACAACTGCTTTGATGACACTAATCTTGAACAGATATAAAGTGAGTATATATACCAACAGACCTGTAAGGCGCAAAGCCGAGTTATTACACAAATTATCCAAGTATAGCAGTAATTCATACATGAACAAAATATTTAGAATTTGAAAAAAGAAATCTTTACCAGTTTGAAGAGCAAGATAATCAACGTCAAAATTGCTTGTTTCGCGCTTACTAAAATACTGGATAACCTACAGAAGAGTTTTCATGCAATCATATGGGAATTTCTAAGCAGAAAAACAATTATCAAAACCATAAAACTTATGAAACAAAAAGTCAAAAACATCGAGCAATAAAATTCAAATCCAAAAGAATGGCTATTAAAACTTGCGTGAAATATTGGCATTTGCCTTCAACAGGGAATACTGGTTAGCAAGAGAAGCAGTGAAGAGAAGCATCGCTAAGGAAGATAGAATGGTATATAATCTCAACAAACTCGACCGGCTTCGTCTTCTACCTTTCTCACAAAATTAGAAGAGATAGGTGATTTAAAAAGTTTAAATAAAAACTCAATAAAATAATAAAGTAGAGTAAAGAACTCCAGGTCTAGCAACCTAAATCCCCAATGATCAACAAAACAAGACTGGCAATAACAGAAGAAATGGCAACTATATTTGTTGTGCCGTCTTTTTTTCCTGGTAAAACAGCAAACACCACTCCTATTAACAGAAACAAAGCATGCAGGGCACAATTTAAAATTCCAAATCTATATCAGACAAAAACAAAGAAGGCATATATTGCATTAAAATCCATGGTACCTCAATGATAAATAGCGCAGCGAGACGCGTCTTCCCCTTTGCAACAAGTTGATACCCTAGTTAACAAAACATCATCAAATTGACAAACAACAGTGAGAACATAAACCAAAAGAGCTATAGTTAAAAAATCAAGCAAGAGAAAAGGATTAGGGTTTTGGAGAATGGAGCTTACTTGAATCAACGACCATACGGTAGGAATAATCAGAACCATCGGTTCCAGAAGGCCTTCTTTGCTGCATTTTCTTCTTAGATTGTTCCGTTTACAGTGGTTGGATCGTGAGCGTACAGTGGCAAGGAGTGAAACAGCGGTGGTTGGGTCGTGAGCGTGAGAGCGTAGAGTGGAAACGGCGGCCAAGGAGAATATTATACTGATATTTGTGAAATAAGGGTTTAACAAGCTATTACCTCGGTGGAATAGGATAACCGATGTAAGGGTTGGTTTAGTGGACAACCTATTACATCGGTGGAACCTTACAACCGATGTAAGGGTTTTGGCTTTTTTACATCGGTCCATTGTAATAACCGATGCAAGCTGATTTTCTGGCTTTTTTACATCGGTTTATACTTCAACTGATTTAATAAGTTGCGAAAAAATTATTTTATTATTTAATTTATTTTTTATATTAATATCTATTGTGAAGATATTACATCGGTTTTTAGTCAACCGATGTAATATATTGCATGTTTTTTTTAATATTTCTACTACCTTGTTTCTTATTTACAAAAATGCCACCGTATTTTTTTCTGAAAACTTTTTACATCGGTGGATGCGTTTGCCCGATGTAATAGGTAGCGAAATATATTTTTTTTCATATTTTTTATATCATTGCAAATAAATACCTGATGTAAAAAGTTTGTTAGTTGCACTACTACGGAAAAGGGCTTTTAAAGCGCTTATTTTGGCCTTTAAAAGCGCTTAAAAGCGCTTTAATAGCTGGCGCTGGCGTAGGTAACAAAAGCGCTTCTAAAAGCGCTCTGGTAGACCCCCCCTTTAAGAGCGCTTTCCTGGAAAAAGCGCTCTGGTAGGACCCCCTATAAGAGCGCTTTCCTGGAAAAAGCGCTCTGGTAGACCCCCCTTTAAGAGCGCTTTTCCCAGAAAGCGCTGCCAAAGACCAGTAAAAAAGCATAAAAAATTAAAAAAAAACGCAGCATACAAAAGCGCTTTTGGAAAAGCGCTCTGGTAGGCCCCCCTATGAGAGCGCTTTTTCTGGAAAAAGCGCTCTGATAGGCCCCCCTATAAGAGCGCTTTTCCAAAAGCGCTTTTGTATGCTGCGTTTTTTTTTAATTTTTTATGCTTTTTTACTGGTCTTTGGCAGCGCTTTTACTAAGAAGCGCTTTAGTAGGTGGACCTTTAAGAGCGCTTTTTAAAAGCGCTGTCGTTTCTAAATGAGGTATTTTTATGTGCAGCCTATAATTTAATCCTCCCAGTCGACCTGTAATGTTTTCGACCTGTAATATTTTCGACCTGTAATATATTTTTGACCTGTAATATATTTTCGACGCTATTATTTCAGCCATCAGTAAGACAATATATATACTAATATAATACCATTATAATATCCAAAATTATATATATACATCATTACATCAATAATATTATAGTTCAAATCGACACAAATCCTACATGAAAAATTGCTTAATATAATATTGACACAAATCTTCTTTAATTTCTTCCAACTTAAGCTTCGGGTACCCAGCAGCACGGAATTCGTCAAGGTACTACAAAACAAAAACATAATATAAATGATATATTTAGTTAAATGTAATAAATTATATGAAATTATCTTAAGTTATAAATTCATACCGTGAGCGGAATCTCTAATTGATTCGCCTGAAGGATTTCTTTCATGAACCTCAAAACAAAGTATCCGCAATCATGACTGTTTCGCTGTTGCGGACACTACATAATAAAACAAATAAGATTCTATAGTTGTCTTGTTTTACCAAGTAGCATAAATATTATAAGCAAAATTGTGAAAAGTAATGTACCTGCACTTGGATCCAAGTGATGTTGTTTGATTTAGTCCGGGATACCTGTGCGTCCCGTTGACTACAGAACACTTGTATTGATCTAATTATTAAATATATAAAAGCATATGTTTAGATCAATCCCACAAATAAGAAAATATATAAATATACACGAATATATATTTAGAACGATCCCACTTACAAATCAACGATTTCCTTCATAGCCGGATAATTGGTCCATTCACCATTTACCGAATTCAGATAATACACGACTTCTCTTATCGGGTTGATAGCAAGCAGCAACCAGTGTGCTCTATAAATTAAAACAATAGGTTATATGAAAATTTTGCTATACACAAAAGAAACAGAGATTAGATGAACCAAGAATGAGAAACTAACCCTACTGGTCGGGTATTATACGCCCAAAGATGCAGACTTTCTGTATTGCCGGTGGACATGAATCTATCTACTAAGCGCTGTCTAACTGATTCCGGTTCCGAAGCAATTGTCATTCTGCTGCAATGGGCGGAAGACACGAAACGGAATCTGTTAGACAATGCAGTCCTGCGCAACACTCTGTCATACAACAACCTTAAATAAAAACATAATAAACATTAGATTATTTTCATTGAAATGTGTAAATAAATTATATTGTGGGACTAGTTAAATAATATATCGGATGAGTGAATATTACCGGATGTATGAGTGCATATTACTGACGCCTAGTTGATCATGCCTAAAAATCTCTTCCAAGTCATCAATTGTAATATGTGACGGGAATTCAATACCGAAGACACTTTCATCCATGTTGATTTCACGTAAACCACCATCCTTCAAATCGGACATATCAACCATTGTTGCGAGTGTCGAACGGTATCGAGGCACAAAAGCACCGCCTTTTTTTGCCGCTTGCTTCGGAGGACCAGTGGGTGGTACGCTACGAACCTGCTGCGTCACTTGTTGTGACTCCCGAGCGGATGCCTAAAAATCATATAAGTTAGGTAAAATATAAAATCATGCAGATTTAGATTCAGACTATATATTAACACTTTAAATGTACCTCTTTTAGTGATGCAACAGACTCCTCCTCCTGTAAAATCCCTTTACCCTTAATTGCGGGTTTTATAGGAGCAGTCTAAAATTAAAATGTAAAAAATAATTAATAAACGGTTTAGAATTGACATTCGAAAACTAAATGATTCATAATCGTTTTCAGTATACCTCGTCACTAATGGTAATGAGCTCCGAGGGCCATGCAACAAATGATCCTATTGCATCTCGCAGCAATGTCGTCTCTGAGACCATGTCAGGTACCGGTAGAATCGCATCACGATCTAATACAACATCCACCGATACTTTCAGGTGTCCATCCGGGAGCGGTCTGTGGTGAAGTAAATCTCCCGAAGTGTTGTGCACTTTTCCCTTGCCAACTAGTCGATAATTCGGTGACGATAAGTATAGTTGGCAAGATGAAATGCCCTAAACAAATAGAAAATATAAAGTCATTATCATTAATAAAATAGAACAGTTTGTAAGGAAAAAAACTTATAATTACCTCGGGAAATTTCTTTTGATAGTTGATACTAGCCTTATCACTAGTTTCTCTCACCGATGAAGTGTTGCAATTTTCTCTCATATACATATCTTTATCTCTTTGCAATTCAGAGACCTGTGCTTGCAATTCCTGCAACTTTTGCAACACTTCTTCATTGGTAAGATTTGATCTTCTCCTAGAACTCTTATAAAAAGAGGTTGGAGTCACACCATGACCCTTACCCCTCACCCGACCGGGATACTCGGGAGCATCTAGTACTCTACTAAGTACGCTCTCCTCACCGGTGGATGCCGATTGCGACAAGGTCTCCTGTAATTCATTTACATTTAAATAATTATTAGTGGAGATAAAAAATCATTTATATATTAAAAAACATTTGATTTAATTAAAGACACAGTATTATACTTACACATTCAGTATAAACTCTCTGAACATCGGGATCGACAACTTGATTCTTGCCCACACGAGCTTCCTTCCACAACACATGTACAGGAAGTGAAGCTTCCTCACTTTTAGTCTCCTCTAACTATGCATTGACACAAACGATAAAATCGTCAATTAAAACATGCACATGTAGACAATTAATTAAAACGCATTTCTATTTACTTACAATTTTATCCTCTAAGCGTGCATATCCCAAACGCCCTTTTTTGTATGGATACGCGGGTTTGGATGCTCTCTCACTATTCGTGGCACTCTTTTTCTGAAAAGCTTCATCTCTTTGCTTTACAAACTCAGCCCAATCTGCTTCATCAATGAAGGTCGCATACTTTGTTGGCCGTCCCGGTGCCTCTTCAAGAAATTTTCCATCTTTATCCTTAAGATAGGTGTTTGTCAAAAAACTTTTCCACCCTCTATATCTTTTGCCGGCCAAACTAAGTATGTAGCTTTTACGTTCATCTGGTATCTCAAAAGTCCTCTGCAAAAAAACGTACGCATAGTGTGTTAGTATAAGTAATTTAAACAATTTATCGTCAAGATAATAACAACAATTAACCATATATGATATATACCTGAAGCTCTTCCCAAATCGCTTGTTTTTTCTCCTCCAATTCTAAATTTTTCGTTTTCGATTTCCAGGTAGCTACGGAGACCGGAATATGCATACGGACAAGTGTACCAATATAACTTGTCAACTTTGCAGAATTAGGACCAATTGGTTGTTTATCAGAATTCCATTCCAATCGGTATACTAATCCTTGGTCTCTATGTCGAATGATTCCCTTCATAATAGTGATGCCTCGTGCAACCTCTTTTGCTTCAGTATCAGGTGGAGCATTTGTATCCGAAGCAACTCTTTCTTGTGAGTTTTCTTGTGAGTTTTCAGGTGGGTTTTCAGGTGGAGCATCTCTATCTGGAGCCATTGAACCTGTATCAAACAAACTAAAGCACATTAGTACACTATTAACACTAACTTTATATGAGAAACATTTCAAAAAATTACAACATAGAAGTTATTATAAGAAGAAAAAAAATCAATCCATTATTAATTGTTCAACGTGAAGATATTCATCCCTGCATCATCTGCCAAACATACCCAATGTATGCTTTCCTTCTTAAAAAAGAATTTAAGTTAAGTAGAAAAAATTTACTTTTTTATTATTAATAAAATAAAAGCATGTGATACAATCAATATTACTTTTTCATGATATTTCTTTTAGGCAAAGATGAGGGGATGCATACTCTATCAATATTAAAAGCATGTTCATTTAATAA